CTTGCTAGCTTGGAAAGTGTGTACACTTGAGCATTTTCTGCCCTAGGGACCAACTCGATATAAAAAATAACCAGCTGGGCTATCAACTCCTTAACTACGGCTACATACTTCTACATAAATGGCTCTTTGGCCTCATACTCCCCCCTAAGATGGCTCGCTACTAGATGCGAGTCAGTTTGGAGTTTCACCTTTCTGCCGCCTATTGCCAAACTCATCCTCAACCCTGCCAACGTGGCTTTGTATTCAGCTTCATTATTAGAGACTTTGAATTTGAACTTTATTGCATATTCAAAGATATTACCTTCGGTTGACATCATAATTATTCCAGCTCCGCTCCCTGTGTGGGCAGCTAAGCTGTCCACAACCACTTTACATGTTCCTATCTCTTCCTCTACTTCTTTGTAGCTTGCCTCCACTATGAAGTCTGCCAAGGCCTGAGCTTTTATCGTTGTTCAAGGCTTGATTTCCTACTCGTATTTAATCAACTCTATCGTCCATTTTAGTAACCGTCCTGAGGCATCCATTCTCTGCAATGCTTTTTCCAGCAGATAATTTGTTAGTATTTGTATAACATGAGCATCAAAGTATGGTTTTAGATTTCTAGCATTGGTTACGACTGCAAGAGCCATTTTTTCTACCAATGAATATCTCTGTTCAGCCTAGGTCAAGACATGGCTAATAAAGTAAACTGGATGCTGACTTTTCCTCTCTCTACCAGTAATGTTGATCCTATCGTCTGCTAGGTACATTACAAACATGGTTGAGCCACCGTCACTTTTATAGACAAGACGGTACACACGCATTAGTATTCAAATAAATTAAATCAAAATTCTACATGGTAACCCCCAATTTTTGCTACTTATATTTGGTAGCCCTCTTTTTTTATTATTTCATAAAATGACCCTAATTACATATTTATTCTCTATTATGACATTAATGAGGGCTGGTATGGTTAGATTTAATTTAATCCTAACTATAGTTAAGATAAGTTAAAAAAAAAAGGAAACCCCCCCCCCCCCCCACATTAAAACTTCCCAGTTCCCACCCACCGTACACATTAACAATTCCTCAATTAAAAAACCCTTAATTAAAAACTCCCACCCACCTTTTGCAATTAAAATTCATGGCAGAGTAACACTCTTCGACTTACTTCCCGCAATTTTGCAGATCATTATCACAAATCATTCACTTCTCGAAAAATTAAAGAGCATAGGAATTTCATCTGGACACAAAACAACTGAAATTCTGAAACATAATTATTTTGCTCGGTTGGGGTACGAATTACAAGGGCTTGTAATTGTATATATTTGCAAGCTTTAGTGTTGGCGTTAGTTGAGCGTCTTGAAACCAGGTACCTAATTTCTTCTTGTTTTACTTGTTTTATTTCATAATTAGTCTTACATACTGTATTTTGAATGTATATGTTGAATTTTGTATTTTTATGTGATGTTTTGCAGAATGTCTAATGTTGTGGTTCTTAAGTTTCAATATTTGGGTGTTGATGTTGATTTGGTTGTTGATGACATTGATAAAGTCAATTTAATTGATTTGATTATAGACTACTGGGATTTGGCTGCAGAATGCAAGGCACCAACACCTAAATTCCCTTCATTTTCATATCTTCATAAGATGAAACATTTTTATTTAACTTGTGATAAAGACTTGATGGCTATGTTTAATAATTTACTTGGTAGAGATTGAAACAAATATTTTGGTGGAGGCATAAAATAAACAAAGTCAATATTAAAGAATGCTAGCACACTTAGGTCGCTAGGGTTTCTAAAGAACCACCCATTAGCCCACCTCCTACAACTAGTACGCTGAAAAAGTTGACACCTAGGCGAAGTTTGACGTAGAGCCTTGAAAATGATCTTACCCGAAATCAAAGTGAGTTCCCCCATTGCGTTGAATTCACATGGAATGATATGGTAAACATCTCTCCTATAAGAGAAAATGATGAGCCATCTAAAAGGAGAGGAATAGGTAGGGGTAGAGGAAAGATAGGAAGAGGTTCTAGTAATCTAGGGAGGGGCAGAGGTATGACTGGTTCAAGTGATGTAGGGAGGGTTGAGAAACTGATGCACAAGGACAAGATGTGACACAAGGGGAATTTAATGTTGTTAGAAGAAGTCCTAGGCGTAAATATCAAGGAGGTTCTAGTTAACAAAATGTGACAATACCTCTAAGTGATAAGTTTAGGGTGATCACTGGTCAGGCATTCTGAGAAATTAAAGTCTCTTCTAGATCATCCAATGGGTCTTTTTCTTTGTGTAAGAGGGTGCCAAGGACTACTGCAAAGAGGAGGGGTATGTTTAGCAGTTCGAGTTCTATATCAGATCCTTCAAATGGAGTAAATGCACCTTTATCATATCTTATTTTGAGTTTTAATGCTAATGAGGTGGAAGAACCTTATAATGACATAGAGGAAGAAGAAAATGATGAAATTGATGAAAATGGTGTGTCTTTGAATAAAGATTTTGTGGATAGACTAAATGATGCTTCAAATGATGATGTGACCATGAATGTCCACGATAACTATGATCCATATGAGAGCCCAATTTGGGAAAATGAAAATGAGGAAGAAGATCACTTTGCAAGGTTGTATAAGAATGGTGAGATATATAATGACGAGGAGTTTGGGAAAATTGAAATCAAACCTTGGCAAATATTCACAGATAAGAAACATCTAAGAGATATACTTAGGGATAATTTTATTCAAAGTGGGTTCTTTGTTGTGGTTTATAAGGCTAACAATCAAAAGTGGACTATTAGGTGTTCTGCAACCCACTGTGAATGGAGACTCCACGTTTCAAGGTTGCCTGATGGTATCACTTGGGCCATAAAGTCCATAAAAAACATGGAGCACACATGCATTGGGTTAGAAGTGAAGAATTCAATGGTCACCACTAAGTGGGCAGCTAGAGTTCTAATGGAGGATCTAAGAGCTAATAATGGCATCCTATCAAAGTCATTAAATGAGCTTCTTTGGAAGAGATATGGGGTGCAGATGGCAACTAGCACACTATACAAGACAAGGACCATGACATCGATTGAGATTAATGGTGGTCATGATGTTTCATATATTTATTTGCCTACTTATTGTGAAATGATTACAGCAACAAACCCTGGTTCATCTGCATTTTGTGCATGGACAAATGTAGATAATCTTGAAAGACCACTATCATTTCTAAGCATCTTCATATCATCTAAGGGAGTGATAGATGGTCTGTTTGGGGGGTGCAGAAGCCTGATTGGAGTGGATGGAGCCTATTTGAAGGGTAGTTATGGAGGGATTCTACTATCTGTTATAGCCCTTAATGCAAACAATGAACTATTTCCATTTTCTTAGGCTCTTGTCTCCGTAGAGGATATAGAAAATTGGAAATTCTTTATCTGGCATCTAAAGAATTTGCTCAAAGATAGTGGGAGAGGAGATCAGTGGTGCATTATCTTAGATAGACAAAAGGTACAATGCATATTTTTTTTACAGTACTTAGCCAATAGTTGCTTATGTTTATTCAAAACTTAACTTTGTTTTTTGTTGTTACTTATTAGGGGATTGATTCAGCCTTAACCGAGCTACGGCCAAAAGTTGGGAGGAGGTATTGATGTAAGCACTTATGCTCAAACTGGAAGAAGGCATTTCCGGGTCCTCTAATGTTAAGTCTTTTTTAGAAAGCTTGTGATGCATACTCTTCTTTCACATTCAAAAAGGCAATGGAGCAGCTTCAAAAGGTTAACCCAACACACTCATTTGGTTATCAAATTGGGAGCTCAATCAAGGTGGACTAAGCGCATGTTTGATGAATCTATAAGGAGTGATGTTAACAAGTCAAATTTTGTTGAGAGTTTCAATGCACCACTTGGAATAGATAGATGTAGGCCAATGCTCACACTATTAGAAGGTAATATCTTCTCTTATTTAATTCACCTAGTTGGTGTTCCCGAATATTAATCATTGATTTATATTATTGCATAGGTATTAGAAGGACTACAATGGTAAGAATGGTTGCAAGGAGAGATTTATGTAAGGAATGGAATGATGATGATATTTGTCCTAATATCATCAAGAGGATACAAACACTAACCCATGAATCAAGAACTTGTAAAGCTCTTCAATGTGATAATGGGTATGAAATTTTAGATGGGAAGTCAGTTCTAGTAAGTTTGAAAGACCGCACTTGTTTGTGTGGTAGATGGCAATTTGTTTGGGATATCATGTAAGCATGGAATCTGGGCAATAATTCAAGCTAGGCTTAATCCACATGACTTTGTGGATGACTAGTACACTGTCAAGAGGTATAAAGCAACATATGCATCTGGAATTAAGGCAATACCAGACCAAGAACAATGGCCAGAGTCTGACATGCCCAAAATTCAGCCACCGAGTATGAAGAGGGGAGTTGGTAGACCATACAGAGAACGAAAAAGAGATGATGAGGAAGAAAGAAAAGGAAAGAGAAGTAAGACGGTTAAATGTAGTAAGTAAAATTGCTAAGGGCACAATGCCTTAACATGCAAAGGAGGAATCACTACAAAGGAAGCTTGTGGTATCAAAAATAAGGAGAAGCAACCTATGGTTTCATCATCTCAGCCTATTCAAAAGAAAAAGAAAGCCCCTTATGCCAGATTTTCATCACAACCTATGGTATAGGGCACTTGTTAGTCCAGTTTGTTTAACTAATTTCAAAAAATTATTTTTTGATGTGTTGAATTTGGATCTTTTTTTCCGTGGATGTGTTGTGATACTTGTCAACATTTTATATTTTGAAAACAATAACTTTTAGATTCAATACTCAAATGTAGTATTTTTTTTGTTATATTTCTGTAGGGAACTGTAATTACATTTTTCTCTAAAAGAACAAAGACCCTTTCAAAAGCACCTTCATTTAAATTTTCCAGGATGTTATGTATAGGATCACAAGCAAATAAACCCATAGAATTTGCACTTGAAGTAGGGATGATATGGTTTGTTCTCATACCAAGAAATAAGGGGATGAATATCATTTTCTAAAGGGGTTGACTTTTGGAAGGAATTATTTCTTTCTTTGAGTGGGAAATCTGAAAGTTAACTATGGTTAACCTAAACAATGGAATAACATGAATTTTACTCTTATTAATGTCATAATAGAGAATAAATATGTAATTAGGGTCATTTTATGAAATAATAAAAATAGGGGCTACCAAAGATAAGTAGCAAAAACTAGGAGTTACCGTGGAATTTCCTTAAATCAAAAACTTCTCAATCCATCTCTAACTTGTCAAACAACATTTCCATTCTCTAATTCTCTAATCCACTCACTACTCATAGTATAATTTAGTACCAAAACGAACTGAAATCCAGAATAAGCAATTGAATTGAATCAAAAAAACGAAAGAAAGAGATTGATTGGTAAGAAATCAGGCGCAAAATAAAGGTGGAAGATGCGCCGAGAATGTTGTGGAAAGATATTACGAGCAGAGAAGATGGTAAATTACGCCCAAATTCTTTCTCCCGTCGCCTTCGATCCCGTCGCATTTCTTCTCTCCATCTTTCTAACTTCAAAGAGTTCGTTTCTCCTCATCGTGGCGCCGTCAATTCTCTCCAGGTCCCTCTCTTTCTCCCTTAAATCTTTTTCCATTGTTTTTTTTTTTTTTTTTTTTTCTTAATTTGGATTGTAAATTGCTGTAATAAACCTTCTTTATTGCTTATCATTAGAAGTAGTTTTGTTAAAATAAATTTTAATTTTGCTTGTTGAATTATTCGGGTGATTAGTTTTTGGGTTTTAGGGTTTTGCTAATGCAATTCATGGTATTCAATTTGAGTATTTCTATATGAAAGGTGATCATTATTTATTATTTTTTGATTATAAGGATGTTAATTATTAAAACTGAATTATGCTATGTTGTAAAACAATTTCATAAGCTCTGGAAAGTTCAGAATGAATTGTCTATCTTATCATTGTTCATCGTTTTTGCTGAATATTTGAAAGTAGAGAGTATATTATATAACAAATTTTACATTGTAGTTTGTCATGCTGTTACTTAAAGCTGTTGCAATAAGACAGGCATTGCCTGTGCTTAATTTTCGAATACCTCTCGTTTGTTTATCCTACCTTTACATGTTATGTCACTAATCTGAAATTTTGAAGAAGTACTTCATAAGTTATTTGCTGTGTTTTAATTGGCCATTACCTTGATGTCATTTGTGACCTTTACTTCTGGAAAACGTGTTCTGGTCGCTGTTCCATAATAGTAGTCTTTTATTGCATTCCATTTTCTTGGAGACTTGGAGTTAGAGTGGTGTAGCTGCTGTAGTGTTTTAGTTACTACACTTACTAGCCAATATTCCAGAAAATGAAAAGGTATAAAATTATGTAATTGTGTTCTACCTTTTTATGCAGTGTTTGTTCTAGTCGACTTTTCAGATATAACATAATAGTGCACTAAATTGATTTATATAGTTTAGAAGAGCACCTTGTTAAATTAATAGAGAGACAATTGTCATTTCCAAGGTTAATCTATCGCTATGGAATCTTGCATTTCCACGAGTGGGATCTTGCTCAAAATCTTATCTTTTTGATGTGGATTATACATTTATACTTAATAAAATTACCTACCACTATTTAATTTTTTTGAAGTAAATAATAATTATCTAACAGCTGGAGGCTTCCGTAATCACTCTTTCATGTCAAATGATGATGCTTTAAAGTAGTTTTATTTTCTTCAATTAGTTGACATTAGCTTCTCTCAAATGGGTTCCCCTTTCTTTGATCCTCTCTACTTTTGTATATATCATTCTTTTTTTACTTGTTATTCTACCTCCATTTCAATTTATTTTCAACGATGTGACATTCACCAACATTTAGGTAAAATTTGTTTTTGAGTGGTAAATAAAGAGTGAGAGAGAGAAGTAAAGTTTCATGTGATGAGGGGAGAAATAGAAAGAAATGACAAGTAAGAAAGGAAAGAAAACCTTTCTTGTAAATAAATTGAAACGGAGGTAGTATAATAAGAGCTAAGGGGAAAGGGTGGGCACCTTTCTTAATTCAGGGAAGCACGGTCTATGTATTTGTATGCATTGGCTTAACTCACTCCTAAAGTCCTAAGTCCTAACCTCCCTAGACACTAAAAAGAATACATAATGAAAAATGCCTAGTTAAAGCAAAATTAGAAAAAAAAAAAAAGAAACAAAATGGTAACTTGAACAATGATTATGATGTGGACGTGTACATTTTCTTTTTTTCACACAAGGAAACTTATTGTTTTGATATAGAATTTATCTTATTGAGAGATCTTCTTGTCACATTTTTTTGATAGAAAACCAGGTTGATTTAACAGAGGGGAGATATTTGCTTTCTGCTGCTTCAGATGCATCTGCTGCTGTCTTTGATGTTCAACGTGCATTTGAGGTTGGAGGCTCCGTTGCGAGGCACAAGAGCCTGTTTGTTATTGATAAAGAGCACCAACAAGGACATAAGTATGCTGTATCCTCAGCCACATGGTATCCAATTGATACCGGGCTATTCATCACTGGTTCCTATGATCATCACATCAATGTTTGGGATACAAACACCACACAGGTACTATTCCAGTGTATACTTGCTTTCCATGTGCTCTTAAGTAGTCAATTGCTACTAATTTAGACTGCTGTTTGATAGGTAGTTATGAATTTTAAGATGCCTGGAAAAGTTTACAAGACTGCTATGAGTCCTATTGCAACCTCCCATATGCTAATAGCGTCTGGAACTGAAGATGTTCAAGTTCGTCTTTGTGATATTGCTTCAGGGGCATTTGCTCATACATTGTCTGGCCATCGTGGTATATCGTTAATTAAAAGATTATAAGTATTTGTATGACATTATTGAGCATAATATGTTTATAAATAGAAAGGTCAAATATTGAGCATATTTATTCCATAAATTTGTGGTAGGGTTGAGATATAGAGGAGATTTTTTATTGTTATCTTAAAGATAACTTTGGCATTTTCTGATCCTAAATAGACAAAGGCCATTTATTTTTGTTGATTGTGAGGAATCAGGCCCAAGTGTAATGATGGCTTATATAGTTTGATGGACTGGGGTTTGGAATTCATTGAAAAAAGCATTTCATGCATTACAATATACTACCTCCGTTAACAGTTATTTGCAACGATGGGACATTTTTCCTCTCTACTTTATGTCAAATCGTTGCAAATAACTGTTAACGGAGATAGTATAATTTGTGTGTGTGTGTGTGTGTGTCTGTGTTTGGGGGGGGGGAGGGGATTTGGGTTTGGTAGCAATGTTTACAGATGCTTTTTGCCCAGTCTATTGCAAATTTATAATTCTCATTTTTGGGAGTTTTTAATAAATTGTTGGGTTTTTCATGATGATCTATTTCCAATTTGGGGGTTAGAAAAAGTATATTATTTAGTCACTTAGATTAGATTGCCATACAAATAGAGCTATTAATTATTGCTTGGTGATGCTTATGTCTGTGTATGTGTGTCTATTGTTTTGGGTAAATATACCCTGGCCACATGGCCCAACCAGCGTGTCACCTTAGGAAAGGTTCAAAATGAATCAATCCCCAGCTGACATGTGGCACTCCCAATTAGCATGGAAATCCTTCAGGGCCCAATTCCCGAGAAAAGCCGCAAAACGGCGCAACCCCCCAAATCTAGGTCAAGATGACCTAGGTAGGGTGTTAGCGTAGCAATGCAATGGCTGATATTAGCTACTGTATTTGCAAGCTAATAGCATAATAATGAAAATCCAGAACAATGTAGAGAAGAAGAAGAAGAATAAAAGAGAGAGAGAGAGAGAGAGAGAGAGAGAGAGAGAGAGAGAGAGAGAGGGAATTTGTTATTTCATTTCTTGCATTATGCATGCACCTCACAGCCCTTAAGTACAACCGTGGCAACAACTCATCAAATCCAACAACTAATTAACAACTTAGATTCTTTTCATAACAACTTTTATTCCCTACTAATAAAGTTGAAGAAAAGTACAAAATAACCCTTTTTGATTACCAAAATTACCAAAAATAGAAATATCAGAATATGTCCTGTAACATACCCTCCCCCTTTAAAGGACTTGACCCCTGGCAAAAAAGCAGGATAAGCAACCTGAAAATCAGCTTTAGGCATCCAGGAAGCTTCATGAGCAGGGGTGTCCTTCCAATGCACCAAGAGGTGTTCTACATTATCTGCGTCCAGCTTAGTATCCAAAATGGCAGCGGGAGTCATAGGAGCAGGAGCTGAGTTTTCCCAAGGTAGCACAACCACAGCAGGTGCATTACCTTGAAAAGGTTTGAGCAAAGAGACATGAAAGATTGGATGTATCTTTGATTGTGCAGGCAAGAGGAGTTTATAAGCCACATTTCCAATTTTGGCTGTGATCTGAAATGGCCCATAATATTTAGCAGCAAGCTTATTGTTGCTTCTGGTAGACACTGACTGTTGTCTATAGCCCTGTAGCTTCAGCCAAACCCATTCACCAACACAAAAGGACCTCTCAGACCTCTTTCTGTCAGCCCTGAACTCTCATTTTGTTATGAGCTTTTGACAGATTTTGCTTGAGTATGGCTAGCATATTCTCTCTTCTCTGCAGTCCCCTGTCAACAGCTTCAATCCGAGACTCTCCTGGCAAGTATGGCAAATGGATGGGAGGGGGCTGTCCATAAACCACCTCATATGGGGTCATACCTGAGGCTGAATGGAAGTGTGTATTATACCACCATTTAGCTAGTGGTAAATACTTGCACCACTCTTTAGGAGAGTCACTTGTAACACACCTTAGGTAAGTCTCAAGGCACCTATTCAGCCATCTGTCTCAGGGTGCTTAGGGTGATAAGCAGAAGATAAGAGGAATTCCCTACCATGTAGGGAAAACAACCCCTTTCAAAATTGGCTAAGAAATATAGCATCCCTATCACTCATTATGCTCCTAGGCCATCCATGAAGTTTGAAGACATGGCCTAAGGTAGCATTGAGCAACTTCAACAGCAGAGAATGGGTGTTTCAATGCCATGAAATGAGCATATTTGCTCAGTCTGTCCACAACTACAAAAATGACATCCTGGACCATGGACTTACGTAAACCAGAAATGAAGTCCATGGATTGTAGAGGTGTCATACTTTGAAGCCCGGCAAACTTTGCATTTTCTGATCAACTGACTGACTTCCTTAGCCATTCCCCTCCCGTAGAAGTAGAATAAACCCTACATTCTTTTCAACGTTTGATCTAGTGGCTTGCCTCCAAGGAGGAGTGCTGCCATTGCAGTAGTTGTTCCCTTAGCTTCATGTCTGGGCCAACAACAATCTTCCCTTTTTTTCCACAGCAGCCCCTCTTTGAAGAGTAAACCCTGAAATGTTTTTCCTAGCTTAAAACTATGTAATCTTTAGCACCGTCTGGGTGCTAAAATTTATACCGCCCGAATCTTGGACGGCTGCGTAATTGGTCTGGGGCAATCACAGTAGTGATTGATTGACTAAGGAACTTGTCATACTCTTAAAAGTATCAAAAGTTCCTAAGCTAATCAATCAAACTTTTGAAACCAACCATACAGCCGCCTAGGGGCAAATAGTTGCTGCATGGAATCAACAAGTTAGGCAAGATTGAAGCATATATATAGCAAAATTGCAAGTGACAAAATTGTCAAAATTGTCAAAACCGACTCAGTCGGCTACTTCATTAATAACCCCCGACCTAAAGGTCGGGAGAGAAAATTGTCATACTGGATCCACATCCGGGAGAGGAAAAAAAGATTGTTGAAAATACATTCAAATACTCGGCTCGCAGGCCGGAAATACAAACGGCTAAAAGAAAAATACTTAACTTAGCTGATTCTGTTGAGGTGGGGACACCGACTGGTCATGGCCTGAGGGGAGCTCATCTCTTGTTTGCCCTGGTTGAACTTGGTTAGGGTGAACCGGCACTTGGTCCTCCTGCTGATCGTTGAGCTCGCTCTCGCCCTCTTCAGACGGCTCAATGCCGGCCCATTCGTTAAAGGGAGCCGGCTTTGGCAGACCTAGGGTTCCACGCTATCTTCAAGCGCTCCTCGAAACCTATTTCATTCTCATCCACTAGCCGCTCTTGCTCCGCCTCGAGCTCAGCTTTGTACTCGCTCCGCATTCTGGTTATCTCGTCCTTTGAGCCGGCCAACGTCTGATCAGAGCTCGGTATTTTCTTTGTCGATTGCCTCCAAGATCCGACCGAGCATTTTTTTAAGCTCGAGCTCGAGATCAGATGTCTTCTTGTTGCCGTCTCCAGGTAGCCAGCTCCTTAATGATCTCCTCCTGTTTCATCTCCCTTGCTTTAGACTTAATATTATCAAGGTAGATCGATATTGAGCAGAGTTAAGGGCTTTAGTCGCCCGTTTATTGGCGTCTCTTACCTCCTCCTGTTTTTTGTTAAACGGGGTTTTGAGCTCGTCTACTCTAACCACCTGAAAAACACAATCGGCGAAAAGATAACTTAGCTGGCATACTGATAAAAATAAGCACTTGAAAAAAAAAAAAGAAATAAATAAATAAATAAATACTGCTGGACGTCCGGCCTCCTAGGGAAGGCATCTGCACCACAAGAAGGGGGTTGTGAGATAGCAGCATAATCGACACCTATAGAGTACCGGCTGCAAGGCGAACCTCCCGATTGAGAAGAATGAGTTTTGACTCGTGTCTGCTCACTCCCAGCCGTTGCAGAACCGGTTGCAGCATTGAGTGGCATGCCACTCTTCGGCACCATAGGGATGCCCGACTCTTTGCCGACCGCATCTAGGCTCACGCAAGATCCTTAAGGCTCTTGCTTGCAGAAGTGGGTCGGTCTTAGACGATAAGGAAGATGCTATCTGGGTTTGCTATGCTTTCCTAGCTTTGGGGAAGCCATTAGTAGACTCCTCAGGCTTCCGTTTGAGCATTTTGGTGATGGATTTTTGGATGTTCTTGCTCCCACCCTTAAAGTGAAACACATGGGTTATAGCTAGTGATATGTCGTCCTCCCAAGATTATAAAGCTATGCGAAGCTTACCTCATCGTTTTTGGCCGCCAATTAGGCTTTTTTCTTCTCCAGCTCAGCTTTCCTGATCTAGGCTGCACACGTGGCAAGTGTCTTCTCAGCATCGACCATTGTGAGAGCTTTTTCTACGAAAACACTGGTTGGTTAGACAAACTTGCCAATAAATTACACAAAGTAATAGAAGCGACATTAAAATAAGGTACGATTATTTGTGTGCCATCATCCAGAGGCATGGTACTAAGGCCACAGTCGGAGGGAAACACTGCGCCCTTAAGCTAGTTCGGATGGGGTACCCAATTTTTAGGTACGATTATTTGTGTGCCATCATCCAGAGGCATGGTGGTCGTCTTAAAAAACTCCGGCTCTAGTATCTAGGTCCAACCCTTTAGGCGGCAGGGCGCACTTCTTCCCCAATAGATTTTGGGTTTTTGTTATACCGGCGGAGTAAATGATTTTGACGTTTGCTTTTAGAGGAGACCATATAGAACGTGCTCTTCCAGTTGCTCCATTTTGACGGCTTGTCAAGCGTCATCAAATACTCCCGATGCGTGGTTAATGTATACCACGCCCTAAAGCCACCTGGGGCTCGGCTAAGGTAATGCATGCGATCAAACGCTTCTCAGCCGGGCTCTATGTTTTGTAGCTCACAGGCGGCAGTATAACTAAGGATGTTCACCCACGAATTTGGGGTGGGTTGCCGTACGCCTAAGTCATAGCCCCTTAGTATGGGTTTTATTCCTTTATGGAGGGGGAATCGGAGGCCGGCTTTGAATGCCGCCTCATAACAGCCGAAATAGTTGTCAGTATGGTCAATGTCATCCTCCCAAGCGACTGGGCCACTGCAGGCGGCACAATTATCTCCCAGTCGTCCCCTATGGGACGTCTATCTACAAAGGCTTGAAAGCCCGTCTTTAGGGCAGCCATATCCCTAGTAGACATATAGGTCTCAAGAGGGCTGCCCTAAAGCCCGTCTTTAGGGCCGCCTCGTCTTTCTCACTGTTGGTATCCGCCTGCAGTGAACTCGACTCAGAGCTAGATTGAACGGCCTCTTCGCCGTCTCTCTAGTCAGACTCCTCCAAGATGCTATCACTTGGAGTGTTGGGTGCACTCGGAGGAGGGACTCACGCGTCAGATGCGCCGTTTGACCTATAATCTAGGTAAAGTGTCGTCCACATTGTCTAAGCGAGCCATAGTGTCCTGCACAAACACAGAGATGGTCGGATTTGGGGAAGAATAAGGGTGGACTAAACACCCAGAGACGGCACCCCCAGTCTTAGGCTCAGCCGTACCTGGAGACCGGCTGACTACTGTCCTAGGCTGTGCCATGTGTGTAGTTGGTGAATCCATTTATTCAGTACAATATACACAAACGGTAAAAAGCTTAAAAGAGCTGAGAAGGGGAGAGACGGTTACCTTGATGAAGATTGCTGGAACAAAGAGGTCTTAAATGGTGACCTGCTGTGTCAAACAGAAATAGCAGACGAAAACTTTTGTGATAGCAAGTGCAGCGGTTATCCGAGTCTCTCTCTTTAAAAACTTCTCTCTTTCTCTCTCTAGACTTTTCAAAAGGGTCAAAGATGAGGGGGAAGGAGGGGGGGGGGGTAAAACCCTATTTATAGAGGGGTAAAAAATCAGGGGTATCCCTGCAGGAGGTGAACAGTTAAAATCGTTCACCAATGCCTTGTCATAGGCATCACGTGGCACGCCACGTCACCTCTGTGAGGGGCAAATGTTTTGGGTAAAAATAACCAGGCCACGTGGCCCAACCAGTGTCACCTTAGGAGAGGTTCAAAATGAACCAATCCCAGCTAACACGTGGCACTCCCAATTAGCAGGGAAAAAGACGGGCTTCAGGGCCCAATTCCCGAGAAAAGCCGCAAAATAGCGCAGCCCCCGGTCAAGATGATCTAGGTAGGGGCACATTTACCAATGACCCTATAAATACAGGAGGGACAAAAAACCCCAAAACATCTACTGTTGACATTTTTTTGTATTTACTATTATTGTATGATGATGTGTTAGTTTGACCCTTAAGTGGAAGGCATCCTAACTTGTAACTCTTTTTCTTACCGTTTATTAAAAAAAAATAAAGTCCATGTATAGTACTGTTTTTTCTGAGTTAATAACTACGTGAAAGGATGCACCCATCTTATAATTTCTGTACTAAATATTATGCTATAATTGCTATGCATGCTGCCATGACATAGTATGCTAGATAATTCTGTCTAGTCTTCAATATTTTGGACTTTATTAAAATGTTTATTGTCATCAATTCAGTTCATCACGATATCACAAAAGCACATGACTAATTATACTAATTTATATCAGATGTAGAGATCTCATATACAATGTTCATAATGCAATCGCAGATGGTGTAATGGCAGTTGAATGGTCTACATCAAGTGAGTGGATTTTAATGACAGGTGGCTGTGATGGTGCCATACGTTACTGGGATATCAGACGTGCGGGGTGTTTTCTTGTTTTAGATCAGGCCAAGTCTCAACTTGGCAGGCGGCAACCATTGTTGGAACGTTCAGTTGCCGAAAAGGTCTCATTCTTGCTTGTTGATTAGAGTAGTTTTAATTTGACTGGCCTTTTAGAGTTGTAGATAATTATCTTTTTTTTTTCCCCTTCCTTTTGCTCAAGATACAAGGAGCTTGATATTGTTTAGAAGACAGTTGGGTGATGATTGTTTTATGTTTTTTATTGGTGTGCCAAGGATGGCATTAAGCATGTTGAGACTTGATAGTTATCAGTTTGGTTGGAAGGAGTTAGGAAGATTTTTGTGTATGACTGTACGGAATAATCACTTTTAATTCATGTAACCGACCCCACTTCTGGGATTAAGACTTTGATTGATTGATAGATGTCATAGGCTAGCGAATTAGGGCTATCAATACTGTTGTTACGGTATTGAAGTAGGAATAACTGGATTTTGTTCAGCTTTTGTACATCTTAAATTTACGTATTACTGGAAAGCACCAGGGATCTAATTTTTAAAACCAATATATCTTTGTTAATGGTAAAATCTAAGTTATGTGCTATAATAATTGTTTTACCCACCGTTTGGACTCTAAATGCTATTGTCTAGGCAGCAATATCTAAGCCAATGGGGCAGAATTCTTCTGCAAAGAATAGAGGGGAGCAGAAGAAAGTCTCTTCTGGAAACTCAAAGCAAAGACGCCATTTTGGGATGATGTCAAGTCAAAATCATGCAACTGCACACTATGGTGCTGTCACTGGCTTAAAGGCAACCGAAGATGGCATGTACCTTCTCAGTGCAGGTAGTTTTTTCTGTGTCCAGAAAAATAAGATCAACGGCTTGTCAATAAACTTTGTTGCACTGCAAAAACTGTCTTGTAGATTCTAGTAAAATTAGCTGGTGATTTCTGTGATGTTCTATTCCGAAAGGTAAAATATTTATGTCATTATAAATTTCAGGTTCTGATTCTAGATTAAGATTGTGGGATATTGAATCTGGATGCAACACTTTAGTGAATTTTGAAACTGGTCGCTTGCAAAATAGCAAAGGGATACAATTTGCTGTGGTTCAGGATTCTTCTCTCGTGTTTGTTCCATGCATGACATCTGTGAAAGTAAAGTTTATGTCTAACATCTAATATACCTTCCAATTGGGGATGTAACTGGCAGTCTTCTGATTTCCATTTTTATGCTTCAGGCATTCGATCTTTGGTCGGGCAAAACATCTCTTACTTTCCGTGCCCACTATGATAATGTTAATAGTTGCTGGTTTAATGCACAAGATCAGGTTAGCTATTGTTCTTATTGTCATTTTCTGAAAGACTCCGTTATGACCCCTTCTGCATTATAATGCAATTAGGTTATGAGAATAAATATAACTGAGGCCTCTGTGTTGTCAGCCTGTCAAATATCTAACAACTTAATCTTGAGGACGTTTTGGTATGATAGAAAATATGTCCAAAATTGTACTTTGTAAAATCTATAACTGGCCTCCTGTTTCTATTAGTTGTCTTAGCATGACAATACCTACCAATTTGTCTAATTATTTATTGTTCTTGTATGTTTTTAATGTTTTTTTTTTTTATTTATTTTTTTTTTTAATTTTCATCATTATTATTATTATTATTATTATTATTGTTGTTGTTGTTGTTGTTGTTGTTGCACATTTAGGAACTGGTCACTATGCTTCAGATGACTTTTCCCCTTTAGCAATATTTAATTTTGGGTTTCATGATGCTCAGTTATTTCAAAATTCTAATGCAACATTACCTGTTGGCTGCTTTAAAAGTATTAATCCAACATTAAATTATTGTTTTGTATCGATACTAGTTCCTATAAAATCTTTAAATATATAGCAATAGGAACCATACCAATTGTTAAATATTTAAGGATTTCATAGGAACTAATATTGATGATACAAAACAATAATTACATAGTCAAATTTTTGTGCATTTAACTTTCTAACATAGGTGATAGTTTAACAGTGTTCTTTAGGTTGTTAATTACATAGTCAAATTATTGAGGTTTAAATTTTTATTTTTATTTTTTTAATTCATGCTCCCATTGCCTGGCTGATGGAAATAGGTTCTTTGTTTCCAGGAGCTGTACACAGGTGGAAACGATAGGCAGATTCTCGTCTGGTCTTCATCTGAACTATGTCCCGATAATTTGGTAATTTTATGATATAATCTCTTTCATTTCTAGTAATTATTTGGCTGTTTTACTTGAGCAGTTTGGAATAATTTAGCTACAGTATGCAGAATAGAATATGTGTTTTTTATTTATTTAGATGAATGAATAATCTAATAAAGGTAGGATAATTAGCATGTACCCCTAAAGAGGTTAAGATTTTAAGATATACACAAGGTACTCCTTCATTTCGTAAAATGCACCATGTATCATGAAGAACTTACAAAATACCTCGTGTACTCCCAAAGCTAGCATATATCTAAATCTGTTACTTTAAATCACCAACTCACGTTGATTCCCTTTCACACCCAAATCTTTTTCTTTAGTAATGCCTCGTTCCATAACTTCCCATGCAGTATATTCCTTTTGTTTGAAATCCAGCCATCACTACAACAACTGCCACCACTCTACCAACCCTTCCCACCTGTTACCCCCGTCCCCTCTCCCAAGAAGATGTAAAGTAGTAATTCTAGTAAACAAAGAGGGAAAGTGCTCGGATATTTCTCCTTGTCTGTACAATATAATTATCTGAGGAATCACATTTTTGGTATTCATAAATTTAAATTAAATGTTAAGGTACTGTTTGGTTAGAAGGTGTACAAAAGAAAGTAATGAGAAAGAAAAAGGGAAGGAATTGAATGGTAACACCTCCAATGACCCATCTTGTTTGGTTGAAGAAGGGAAAAAGCTGTTGTTCCATCATCAAATGTTTGCTAGAACAAATAATTAATAAGAAAAAGAAGCCATAACCACCACCCATCAAACTCAATGTAGCCTAACCTTCTATTTCCAAAAACAATCGTCACCACCACCAACTGATCACTGCCACATATCTGACACCAAACCAAGCCATCAAAAACTCCATTGTTCATGACCCACTCATTATCACCACTGTCTTCCTTCTGGCGAGACGCCATCTTACTTTGACTTATAACTCTTTAATGGTTGAAATCAGTCAGAGGATTCATATCTGCAACCTTAACCAGATTTAAGCCTGATAGAGTTGAGGTACCAATTGCGACTTTCAGATTTCGAATGTTGAAAATGCTCTGCTTCGGTGGTTTGCATAATTGGTGTTGTTGGATATGAGGCTTGGAAGCAACAATGATGTTGTGGTGTTTCCGGTGGTTAGGTATTGTCAGGGTTGTCAATTGTGTTGATGAAGATTGTGATGGGGTTGAGATGCCAAAACTCCCAAGGTGAAGATTTGATCTATGAGACCATGACTATATTTTCCTTTCTCAATTACCCTCAACCAAATGGCCTCTTAGACTTTTAACAGATTCAATACAATTACACAACCCAACCCCTCTTGCGGCAATGCCAGCATGTAGCAGTACTGGTGATGGGTAATCATAATTTCTGTCACTGTGCTGCAATTGTTTGTGGCCGTTAGCGGCTAGTGTTATGTGACATAAGAGGGGTTTTCTGGTGAACAAGAGTACGTATTTGAAGGTTCTTGGAAGGTTGTGGCGGAGGTGGTGTTGGTGGGGTTGTCAATCTCGTCGTTCAAGTGTGCCTCTGGTCCGTGATCTTGAATTTCTTGCTTGATTTTTATTTTTTAATACCTTTGGTTCTTGATCTTAACATGAGAGTTGGCTAGAATTGAAGAGAGAAAATGAGGTTAGCAATAAAGTTTGTTATGAAAATAGGATTTGAGTAATTATTGAAGGGCTTCCAAGCAAAAAATCAGTAGTCTGATTGGAAATTTGGTGACATGATTTGAATATATTTTCCAATATTGTTGAAGAAATTAAACAGGATAGAGGGTAAAACTAAAATCAAGAGAGATTGGTGGGTATGTGACGAGACACTAGGTGGGATGGGAGACGGGAAAACTAGGAGAGAAGGGAGGGGGGTTGGCGTGGGGGTTAAAAGAGTTGGTGCTGTTACTTACAAGAAGTCAAATGCCTGCTAGATATTGGTTTATGTGGGGAATTTCAAAAGCCCTAGGAGTACATAGTGCATTTATTCAAAACAAAGCTACCTTATGTGTTCCAACCTCAGGGGAGATATTCCAAGTTTCTTAACATGAAAAACAAACTATGTTTCTCAAATGGCAAAGTCATTAATAAATGCATTTTTTTTTACTTTTTGAGGGAAACACATCGAGCAAAATATATTAATCTAGGGACAAAGCGTATGAGAGTACATAAGAAGAAACTTCCCGAGGACAATGATTATCCCACACTTCCTCAACTCCAAATGGTAAAACTCTAGCAAGATGATGGGCAACATTGTTCCCTTCTTGTTTCCCATAAACTGCTACTTGAAATAGCAGTTTACCTCTTGGGAGACAAATTTTGTTTCTCATGTTGGGAAACTGGGGTGGCCTCACCTTAGGGGCACATGGTATAATCTATATTATCTGAATTTTAAAACTATGTTTTATGAATTTTTTGTACTTGAAGCAGAATCTAACCCAACCTCAGGGGCACATGATATTTGAATTTTAAAATTATTTTTATGAATTCTTTGTACTTGAAGCAGAATCTAATGCCAAAAGATACACCATGTTTGGATAGAGAGAAATGGAACGAAAAGAAGAGAAGAGAAAAAGATGGGATTGTCATCCCTTATTTAGATAAGCATGTAGGAGGACGGAAGGGTAGGGAATGGGAATCATCTATTTTCCTTCTTTAATAAATCAGATCATTTCAAAATTAGAAAGATTAGGAAAGAAAATAGAAGCCCACTCTCTCCCTCCCTGTCCTCCCTTTCCCTTTCCTTTCTAGATTGCTATTCAGACATAAATGTTAGGGAAGTAATAATACTGTTTATTGTTATTGAGCAGGATAACAGGAACATGAACGGAAAAGGTCTCTCGAAAGATGAGGATAATTGGAGTGATTAGAGAAGGCCATTTGGTTGTATTATTTGTTTAGATAGTCCGTTTAATTTGTTTTAGGTCTATGCATGATATGGCATATAAGTGTGTTAAACGGACATGCTGCATCATATTTCTTAAAGGCCAAGTGTAATGCTTTGTAATTACTTGTTACATTACTGATCTGAAAATGGTAAATATTGGAATACAAAATTATTTGAGGTCCGTAACTCGCAAATTGTAATGTCTCTATCCCTTTTCCTTAATTAATTCTCTTACACACAACTTTTACATTTGAAATAGTTAATCGCCATTATATATCTTCTATAATTTTGCGTTCCTAAAAACGTGGATGTGCCACATAGGCTCTTTTTAATTACGCTAATCAGCTTCCCAACATCTAATGACGCCACGTCACCTTTAACAATTTTAATTATTACGCCACGTCACTGAATAAACTAATTAACATTACTCCATATAAAAACATAAGATTAAGGAGATTCGAACACCCAACTTGTTATAAGAAATATGACTATTTAACCATCTAAACTAATTACCAACTACATTATAAATATGTAAAAAAAAAGTATATAAGTGAAAAGTATAGGGTTCAATTTAAAAGAAAATTAAGATACTCAAAGAATAAACTCAATAAGTATTCAATGTAACCATTACCTCATACATCTTGGACACAAAAAGGCTTGACAAATTCATCTATACAAGTATAATACATGAAAACTATAAAACAATAATATATAACGTAAGACCTGGGCATTGCTCGGACTAAACACTAGTTTCACCATTAAACTTCACTTACACATTTTTTTAACATGTCTAACCTAAATTCATAACACTTCTTGGCGATCGAACTATTGCATTAAAAAATGGAGTGATGTTAAAGATGGGGATTGGAGACTCTTAATTGCAAATGAGAAAATCTTACGGAGTGGAAGGAAATTTATTTCTAGAAACTCAAAATCATTAGCTCAATAACTAATGCACTTCTTATTCCAAAAAAAAATAAAAAAAGGAACAACATTATTAGTATATGATTCTACAAAGGCAAAAAAGTACACTCCATTAGTTCCTTTTTATTTGCTCTATTTGAGTTTATACAATTTTTAAGATAGGTCAAGTAGAAATTTAAATTAGTGATTAAAATTTTACTTAGAGATGTGTAATAGGGCAAATAAATTCAAAGAATCACAATGTTTATAAAGGACTTTGTCTCAAATTTTAAGGTTTACGCTTCCATTATTTTGCACTTACGTCTTTTACTAAATTTTTCTAAAGACAAGATGAATTATCCTATTAAACTAAAATCTCTTATAAAGTTATAGGTGTAAGCGCTTCAAGAGTAACGGAAAAAGTAATGCAGTCCTTGCCCTCACAATTTAAACCTCCAAGCACACATTTAAAAGACTTATTTATCATTAGGCCAAACTTTGCGTAGTAGCACGTTCACTCGTTGCCCTTGAGATGATGTATATATGAAGTACACGGTGTGGTATACAATGATTAAATGAATACATCTCTCTCGTATACCACACTGCAGTAAAGTTGCAGTATTCAATACGATGAATATATTTTACATGTTCATACATCACCATATCCTACTCCTGCTTGTATAATTCATCTAGAAAGTCAACTCTTACTAAATTTTCAAACAGATCACCAAACATACTTGCATTTCAACTCTTTCAATTACAAATCTCAAAATTTCCACTTTTTATTATCAAATTCGCAACCTCCTCCATCTTCTCTCCGAAACCCAGAAAACTACTAAATTCCCCATAACATGTAAATGAGCTTTAAATCACCATCCGAACCATTCGATTACCATCTACCAAACGAGCCGTAAATCTTAATTCTTTCATCAATGGATCCCTCAATATGGAGCAAACTACCAGAAGAACTCCTAGATTACATCCTCTGTTTCCTCCCTATTAAATCGATCGTCAATCTCAGATCAACTTGTAAACGCTTCAAATCCATCTTTTTAAACCCATATTTTCTTTCCAAAAACTACCCTTGTTCTTCTTCACCTTTCTCTTCCTACCTTTTGTTATCTCATCCTCATTTCAATTGCTATTTCCCACTCTACAACTCTGTTTCAGGCACTTGGCGGGAATCCTCAGCTTCGCATTCATTGCTAAACCCGTGTTCGTCATCTTCAGATCTTCTCTCTGCTTCTAATGGCCTCCTCTGTTTTCATCTACCAACATCCTCAACTTTGTTAGTCTCTAATCTTTTGTCTCGCTCTTCTATTCTTGTTAGATTCCCCAAATTACCCTTCTCATTTGAGTTTGTTACTTTGGTTTCCTTCCCGTATTGTTTCAAAATCTTCATTTACTCGTCGAAATCCGTCTTTCTTTATGACTCTAAGACCCAATCATAGAGGATTTTTGACGGTTATGATCCGATTTTGAATGATAATATTCATCAACAAGGTGTTTACTGTGATGGGTGTTTGTATTTTACCATTTCTTACCCTTTTTCGATTAATTCATTCGATTTGGAGAACGGTATTTGAAGAATTTGTTTGGTAAAATGCCTACAAATGAGTTACTTTTGCTAGGCTTGTAATTGCTGATGAAACTGAACAAGGCAAAAGAGGGAAGAAGCTGTATGTGATTGGTGGGGAGGGTAGAAATGGAATTTCAAGGTGTTCAAAATTGTGGGAATTGGAATGGCAAAATGGTAATATTGAGAACAATAGCAATAGTTGGGTTGAAGTAGAAAGTTTGCCTGAATTAATGTACAAGAAATTGGTATCAGTTTGCTACCATGATTATGAACATATATATTGTTTTTGGCATAATGGTATGATTTGTATATGTTGCTATAGTTGGCCAGAGATTTTGTATTACAGGTTTGCAAGGAGGACTTGGCATTGGATGCCTAAGTGCCCTAATCTTCCTCATAAAATGGAGCTGCGGATTTCGCTGGTTTTCCTTTGTTCCTAAGCATTATGCTTCCTTTTGAGTTCAAATTTGTTCATTGGTTTGGAATATGTTGCTACATATATGTTTTGTTTTTCCTATTTTTACATATTTTATTTCATTTTCTAGTATTGTTGAGTTTCTTGATTATAATGGGTTAGTTCTTATGTAACTGCTCTATTATTGCTCTTCTAATTGTTGGTTATTGGATTTGAATGTAAGATATTGAAATGATGCATAATATGATCAACTTTTGAATGTGAAGGGCTTTTTTTTTTTTTTTTTTTTTTTTTTATGGTGAAAAGAGGGGCAAGCCTTGAAAAACATGAGGAAAACATCAGCGAAACAAAACGAAAAATAAGAAAAGAAAACAAGAACTAACAACAAAGCAAATAAATCTAAGTCCTACTAGCAGGGGGCTTAATCGAAGACAGTCATTGGCACCATTCTCGGCCAAGCTACACCCCCTCTATATTCTCCAATAAAATGACATGAAAATCCTTCAGGTTGCCTCTTAAATCTCAAACTTGTGCTTAAGGTGAATGTCCTAATTAGCTAGCCAATCGGCCACCTGATTAACCTCCTTATAGCAATGTCCATTGTCACTTCCCATTCCTTTGTTTTAAGCATCACTTTGCATTTGCGAATAATGTGAATATATGGAGAATGTGGAGGAATTATTTTCATCAACAATCTCATTACAATCTCCGAATCCATCGAAACTTGCATCATCTTATGCCCTTATTGCCACGCTACCTGCACCTCCCTTAACATTGCTACTAGTTCGGCTTTTGTGCAAGTACATATACCACAATTTACATAAAATACTTCAAGGAGTTCTCCGCTATGTCTATGAATAATACCACCATCACCATCGGGGTAGCCTTTCAATGGAGGGAGCCCCACTTTACTCATTGATAAACAAAATTCATTTATCAATAAGCAAAATCGTAAATTAATCAACAGAAATGTTTGGTAAACATGACATTTTCGTAATTATATCAATAGTTGTTCATGAGCCTCACTTTATCTCATTGATAAACAAAATTCATTTATCAATTAGCAAAATCGTAAATTAATCAACAGAAATGTTTGATAAACATGACATTTTTGTAATTATATTAATATTTGTTCATGATTGCAACACCTTACTCTTTAATAAGAAATATTTCGCTAACCTAGGCAACTACTCGTACACACTTAGGCCCCGTTCACTCTACCTTATTTTTGTTGAACTGAAATTACTTTTACTGCATTTTGATTATATTTGCTCAACTTAAATTATTTTTACTGAACTGAAATTAATTTTACTAAACTTAAATTATTTTTTTACTAATTCTCTATTATATTTCTTTTTTAGAGTTATTGATTTTTGCTAAATTGGAATTATTTTTACAGAACCGAAATTAATTTTACTGAATATTATTTTTTTTAAGGTGAACTGAAAAGGCCTTGCAACTAGGGGTGTCCATTTGGTTTTCGGTTTGGATTTAGGCCAAATCAATCCAATCCGAAATGTTATTCGGTTTTCAATTTTTCAATCCTCTCCGATCCAAATTTCTCTCCTAATCCAATCTGATTCAATTCGAATTAAAATTCGGTTATTTGGATCTAATCCGAAAATTCAAATTAAAGTACCTAAATTTTTAGCGCCAAATACATTGATAAAAATAAAGCCTTAATAACAATACAAGTCTTCAAAATTATGATTAAAATAAATAGTTCAACATCAAGTTCTTATACAAAGTCTCCCTAATTATTTTATGTAGTAGTAAGTATTTGGAGTAAAATTCAAAAGCCCAATCATAAAACGAAGAAATCCATACAAGCTTAATTTTACAATTCGATTTTCGTTTTATTTGGATCCAATTAGGGTCAATCCGGTCCAATCCGAAAATCCAAATTTAAAAAAATCTCAATCCGATCCGATTTAAAGTTCGGATCCGATCCGGATTGATAATTCGGTTTGGATTGGATAGGATTTTGGTTTTAATCCAAATTATGGACACCCCTACTTACAACAAGAAAACTAACTTAGTTAAAATCTTATTCTAGAGATATTCATGTTCTTCAGGTCTTGAAGTTTCCTTTTATCAACACTTTGAAATTCTTCTTTT